AAAAAGTGTGAGAAGGGCCGGCAGTGTAGCTCAGTGGCATAAGCACTTGCCTGGCAAGCCTGAGGTCGTGAGTTCGATTCCCGGTACCAAAACAATAAAAAGATGAGGATAAACTGGAGACTTTTATAGGCAAATGGATGCAACTCAAGGCCATATAAGTGAAATAAACCAGACCCACATCGTATTGTCTCACTAGTGTGAGAAATAGAGCGAGTAAATAAGATCCAAAATATATAATACATATTGTGAATTGGGAAGAAACTGTTCAAAAGAAAAGACAAACTGTGATGGGGGAAAAGGGAAAGGAAGAAAGAGAAAAAAATATGTGTACACAAGATAGCTAAGGTAGTTGTACAGACAGCTTCTCTTAGTTTATTGAAAAGAAATTTTTGTGCTAATATTACATGGACATATTATATGCCTATATGTTGTGCTCTGAATACTACAAAGACAATACACAATATATGGACTATTGTAACTGTCCTACTAACCTGTTTTGAAACTCAGTTTCATTGTTATGTTTCTTTTTCTCTTAAAGTAATGAAGAAAAAAAGGAATGACCTGGTACAGGGGAAGAAATGGAGGGGATGTTTCCGAGGGTCACGTTCTGCTATGAGGGCACTTTTGTTCTCTCTTCTCCCCTCCCACAAATAAAAAGCCAAGTCTGAAGAGCACAGTGTCTCAACCCGGGTTTCTCAGAACATTGAGGTCCGGGGTCCGGGACAGATCATCACAGAAAAGAAAATTTAAAAAAAAAAGAAAATTCAGAGACAGTTCAGGAGAAAAGGAGTCAAGATGGCTGGAGTGGGAATGGTGAAGGGGTGCACCACGGGCAGCCGGGTGCACCCTAAACTGGCTGAGCGTCCCTATTCCTGGCGGCGTCTTTAGGGATGCTGCTCGAGCTCTCTGTCTCCCCCACCCCTCTCACTCTTGTTTCCTCACCTAAAAAATGGGGATCAACACTGCTTCTCGCTGTTCAGCTCTGCTCTACAGGCTGCCCTGCCTCAGCCTGCCTTGCCTCAGCCTGCCCTCTCCCGTGCCTCTGTGGCCTGGAGCTGAGGCAGGCTGCTTCCTGGGGACAATTCCCTTGTCTGCAGCTGCACTTTAGTGGACACAGGGCGTTGGTCCTGCTGCCCAGCATCAGGTGCCTGGCCCCTTCCATGGTGGCCTCTCTATGTCCTCCCAGCTCCACACAGCCTGGAGTATAGATGTCAGTCTTTCAGAACAGTCAGCAGCCAGAAAAGAGGCCGGGCTCACCCCCCAGGGGATGCAGACCCCTTCCTGTGGGCAGAGGCAAGGCTGGGGGTCAAGTGGAGAGGACCTCAGGGGGACCAGTCAGGGTCTCAGAAGGGTGGGGGATACCTTGAGGGGCCTAGGAGACCCTGGGCCCCAAAGTAAGGAGAATGTTGAGCAGGCTGTGGTCTGGAGGCGGCCAAGCCAGGCTCCTCTCTGCAGGGCCTGGTCCTGTATGATGGCTGTCTTGGCACTGGAGTTCCTAGGCAGAGGCCCCCACGCCTCACTCCAGAGCAAACCTCTGTGGTCAGCCCTGAGCCCTGGGTGACACTGGGGCTGGCACAGAGGTGTAAGAACTGGTGCTCAGAACTGGTGCTGAGAGGTCCAGCAGGGCTCCAGGATGGGCCAGCAGGGGGCTTCCAGGTTCGCAGGCAAACTCCAGGGGGCTCAGGAAGGGCAGCCAGGCCTGGGACAGGACCTTGGCAGGGGCTTCCAGTGAGAGAGGAAGTTAGAAAGCCAGATCACACGGGTGTCCGAAGTCCCCAGGCCAGTCCTCCTGTCCTCAGTTAGCATGGGCCCTTGTTTTAGTGATAATGGGAATAAGAACCAAAGCACGGCCCAGCAGGAAGAGCTGAGATTGGGAAATGAGAGGGTGAAGACGTAGCTGCCGCTCTGCAAGGGAGAGCAAGGGAAAGTGTGGTGGGCCGGCCTGGGCAGCCACAGGGACTGGATTCCAGGCTGGCCTCAAACTCACAACGATCCTCCTGCCTCAGCCTCCCAAGTGCTGGGATCACAGGCGTGCCCCACCACGCCCAGCTACTTCAAGAGCCTTTGGAAATGGCTTGTGGGAAGTGTTTGGAAAGGTTCAGAGATGTCGCCTGAAACAGTAGAGCTGAATGGAACGCCTTCGGCTATTCTGTATGGGAGACTCTGGTCAGAGCTCAGAAGACCAGAAGGCTGATAGAAATCCCGCCAGTGAAGACCAGGCTCACGAGGTTTCTGCTGGGAAGAAGGATTGCACTGGGTGCTGGACTCCAGATGATGTATGGTATGGTTTGGCCAAAAGTTTGTCTGCATGTTGCTTGTGTCCAAAGAATTTGCCTGAGACTGAGATTAAGGGCTGTGGACTGATTAATCTGGCAAAAGAAATTTCAAGACAGCTGACTGCAAAGATAAAGCTGAGGAGAGCTCCATTGCTGAGAAGGAACAAGAGAATCAAAAAGATGGCCTGAGGGCATCACAAGAAGCAGCAATCCTCCACCCTTTGCAGCCTCAAAACTGCTAAAAGGAAAGAAAGACTTTGCTTTGAGAAGAAAACCGCAGAGTACTGTGTTCCAGAATGCCAGTGGTGGCCACACCAGGTTCCAAAATGGCAGCAGCATAGAGAATTAGTTCCTCAGAATTATGGCCAAGAGAGAGGAAAGCTTGGCTACTGCTCCAGGTGGCAGCAGACCTTGGCATCATCCACATGGCACTGGATTTAGGTGCATGTAGAATGCAAGAGTTCTGCAGTTAAGAAGGCTTCCACCTTGATTTCAAAAGACCTGGGAGGCCAGGCAGTGTGCCCCTGAGAGGGCAGTGTGTGAAGCTGAGTGTGAAGTGAAAAGTGCAGTGGAGACTTCAGAAGTTTGGAAAAGCCAGGAATGTGGATCATCTGAGGAAAGCTGCGAGGGAGCAAAGCGGGCCCAAGAGAGAGAAGCCCTAGGAGCTGTAACCACCAGAAAAATGCCATAGGGGTGGAGTCACTCAAACCCTTTGGAGCTCACAACGTGCCACAAGTTGCTTCAGATGCTGGATGTGGAATTACAGGACTTAATGTTTGCCCTGCTGAGTGTTGGACTTAATTTGGTCCCAATGCTTTGTATCCCCATTTGTAACTTTTGGAACAAAAAATGTTTATTTTGTGCCATTGAATGTTGGAGGTGTTTAACTTTCCATTTGTACAGGAGCTTGCAGCTAAGAGTTTGCCTTACAACTCAGAGGAGACTTGATATTTGGACTTTTCATCAATTCTGAAACTGTTAGGATTTTAGCAACTCTTAGAGCTGGACTAAAATGTCCTTCTCATAAAGGGATATACATGAGTCTTTGCGGGGGTCAGGGGTGGAATGTTATGGTTTGTACCTGGATGCACCTGCAAAGCCTCATGCAGTCATGGGGTGGGCTTTTAGATTTATGATTGATCCATGATCCAATGTTGTGATTATGGGTGAGAGTACTACACCTGCCCTGGGGCGAATAGTTTGCATATGTAACGGAGGGAAAGAGGCTGCTTGCTGCCCCTCCTCCCTTTTTGCTCTTGTTGCTTTACTATCTTTCACCACCATGAACGGTTGCCCTCTGCCATGTGCCACTCTGCCTTGGAGCCAGCCAAGTATGGACTGAAACCTCCACAAACTGTGACCTAAATAAATCTTTCCTTCCTTAATTCTGGTATTTTGTCTCAGCAACAAGAAAAAAGTAACTAAGACACTAACATACCTATACACGTCTAAGGTGCAGAACTGAAGACTCTGACCCAGAATTTTACAACCTGAAGGTCACGATTTGTTATACCTTACCTTTATTGGACCTAAGCAGAGTCACCGGTTTAGCTAATAACTGCTTTTAAATCTGATTATCTCAGAAGAAAACAAAAATTGTACATTTAATGACTAATGGGTTAAGCCAGCCTGGGGTGCCTAGTGAATTCTAGGCAGCCTGAACTACATAGAGAGACCCTGTCTCAAAACAAATGAGTGCAGGTTAAGGGCCTAAGTGTTTGTTTGTCCTGTATTCTCTGGCGGTCACAACTGTGTCAGTTGCAAGAGCCCAAGGAAGGCTGGTGGTTGCGATGGCAGCCACAGAGGCGGGTCCAGCTTCGGAATGGAACACAGGCACTAGGGAGCACAGCAGGCCCTGAGGGTACCCTGGTCACAGATCACCAAGGAGGGACTTCCAGAACAATGCAAGGTGCAGGGCACCGTGTCCCGCAGGCAACACAGGACGCAGGCAGGGCCACCAAGAGAAGAGCAAGGTCAACTCAGGATCTCTGGGGACCTAAGGTCCCTCAAGTCCTGCCCAGATGCAGGGAGCCCCAGGGATGAGCCCACACGGAGTCCCCTGCAAGCTTTGAGGTGCGTTTCATTTGCATCTTGAGGCAGCAAATTTCCTGTCTCCCCTTCGTGCTGAATCTACTTCCTGTCCGTTCACGTTTGAATCCCAGTCCTGGACCAGCCACCCTCTCCTGCCCAGGCCAGGCTGCAGCACCCTGTTTGAAGCCTGTCTGGGGGAGACTGATGTTGCTCTGCAGGCAGGCTCCGAATGAAGCAGGGGAGGCAGCAAGGCCCCTGATCTGTCCCCTCCTCCTTTCAGTCCCCCTTGGCCCTCAGGCTCCTGCCAGGCTTTCAGATGCCCAGGTGCATTGTCACCAATCCCCAGCAATATCCCTCCACAGATGAACGCCCACCAGGGGTTCAAGGGCCCTGGACATGTGTGGGTGGGGTCATCACCCTCTGTCACCCACTGTGTGGGCCCTCTGCCAGGTTGGGTGTTTCTGGTGGCTCCTTGTCTGCCTTGAGGTTGCATCTTCTGTCCAGAAGCCCAGAGTGACATCGGAGGGTCCTTCAGATCACCTCTGTGGTGATCACCTGCTGGCAACCAGAGTTTAAAAAGCGAGTACGGGTTGAGCTGGGCATAAAGGGGGACAGGTGGCTTGTGGGTGCTTTGTGTGCAGGGCAGGCAGGCAAAGGCTGGTGCCGAGGATGATAAAAAGAACTCACCCATCATCAAGGGACCAAAAGTGAAGAGTTTATTGGTAACACTGAGACCAGCAGGTGAATACAAGAGACAACTGCACCAGCTGGGAGAAAAAACAATCCCATCAGCACTCAGGAGGCTGAGGCAGGAGGATCGCCTGGAGTTTGAGTCCAGCCTGAGCTACCTAGTGAAACTGTCTCAAAAAACAAAACAGAAAATAAAGATGACAAAAAATTTTAAAAAGTCCAAGTAAAATTAGCAAATGTGTATAGGCTAATAAGGGATACTGATAAAGGTCAAAATAATACATATATGCACTCACACAAAAAGGGAGTTTTGACGTTCTATTGGGATGGGGGAAAACAGAACCAGCAGTTAGACCATCTGATGTCCACACAGTTCTGGTAGTTTCAAGGTAGAAAGTTAATGTTGTACCACAGATGAAGCACTCAGTTCAGCATGGCCATAAAGAAACGCTGGTAAAATAACCCTGGCTCCCAACAGCCCCTTCTCTGTCCCTGCTGCTGCTGTCCAGGCTGGGCTCGGGTCAGGTGTGAGGGCATGCCCATCACCCTGACACTGCATGCCCAGTGTTGGGGGCACAACAGGGAGCAGGAAAGACCTAGCCTCACTTCTAAGAGTTCCGTGTGTCCGAGCCACCTACAGACTGCACAGCGTGCAGGCAGGGCCACCGAGGCAAGGCCAGGGGTCTGGTCCTGGGACCAGACCTTTAAAAAAAATGAGAGTGACATTAGGTGAGAGGCAGACAAATAGGGTGGCTGAAGAAAGCCTAGCTGGGTCCACTGAGTTTCAAGAGCACCTTGGCCAGTGGAAGAGCCAGCTGTGCTCCTGCCATGGACACTGGCGTGCAAAGGCCCTAGGGTGGGAAGGGGGCGTAGGCAGTACGGACAGGGTGGTCAGCAGGTGGCAGGGAGGGATGGGACAGGTTTGGGGGTAAGTGGACAAGTTTAGGGGTAAGTGGACAAGTTTGGGGGTGGGTGGACGAGTTTGGGGGTGGGTAGACTAGAACCACTGGGCTGGGTGCAAGGACAGAGGACACGGAATCAGAGCATGGTCCCGTGCCTTTGGCCAAAACATTCAGTGAGTTTTCAGCATCCCCAATACCCATGACAGGAGGCAGCTGGTCCCAGAAGTCACCAGCAGATCATTAGTGCATGGATGGTGTCAAAAGTCCCAGGCTCAGCAGAGGGAAAGGGCACAATCACAGCACCTTCAACTGTGCTCACGGCATCCCCAGCTGGCTGGCCTGGCACAGGGGGGACTCCGGTGCTGGTCTGGGCTATGCCTGGGCAGTTTCTGTTTTCTTTTTTTTTTTTTTTTTTAATATTTTGCCATTTCTCATTAACAACTTAGCGTCTTTCCCACCTCTGGTTCCCCTGTTGGGGTGGCAGGCGATAGGGCCACCAGGAGCTCAGGGCTTGGTGTCCTGAAGGGTGGGAAGACCCCAGCCCAAGTTCTGGTCCCCTCCTGCCTCCCTCCGGCCTCGATGTCCCCATGTGCATAATTAGACCAGAGGGATGAAACCACCCAGCTCCCAAATTCCAAAGGCAGTGCCCCTAGGCCCTGCGCCACCAAGCTAATGTGGCCTCTGAGACTGGGGCCCCACACTGCCTGGTCTGCACATGACCCCTGTTGCTATTGTGTCCACTTTCTCCTCACAGAGGGGGGCTGGTGGCTGGGCCCCCAGCCCCATCTTCAGACATCTTCAGGGAATCTGATGCTGTCTTTGAGGCTGTCATTGGACTCAGTGGGTCACATGGATCCAAAGGTGTCCTCATGTGCAGAACAGGGGACCTGGAACATAGGCACAGTCCAAACACAGGTTCCACGTACTTCCGTGTCAGAAAAACAGGGGAGACACTGGAATCACAAACGAAGTCAGGCTGTCCCTACATCACCCTCGCATGCTCCTTGGGGTAGCCTGTGGGACATTATTTCTGAAAAACATTAAGGACATTTGTTAGAGAAACATCTGTGCCTTGGGTCAAGAGTAATGAGAGACAGGCTCATGTAACTTTCCTAGAATTCTCTTCTGCCAACAGAACTAGTTTTCCAACTTGGGATCCTTAGGGTTTTGTAAGCCACTGGGTGGAAAGAGTCTGGCTGGGGTCAAGGGGCAGCATGGCTACATTCCCAGCCTTGTGGGATGGTGACCTGAAACCGTCACTTCCACGACACCAACCATACCTGGCTTCACATTCCCCTCTGACCAGTCTTTCTCTGTCTCCAGCAGGACAGGCCCTGATAGAGCAAGGAAAATGTTGTCCTTTGCCACCCAGAGATGGCCTGGGAGTGTATCCTGGACAGAGGGTTACTTAGCCTCTGTCCTCACCTTCCCAGCCACCTCCGCTCCATCTGGGAGCTGGACACATTTCAGTCCTCACCACAGCATCTGGAGCACACCTCTACATCCCAGGACACCCAGATGTGTCCACAAGTCACCTCCCTGAGAGAGGTGACTTTGTCTGGCCCTAGGTGGCTGCTCTGTGGGCCAAGCCCCCACCTCTCCTGCCCTACAGCCCTCATGACACCTGGCCCAGAAACACCTTATATATTTTCAGGACTTGTGCCAATTGTGCAGCCTCTCAAGATCTTTCTGCTCCCAAGTGCCAGCTCCAGAGTCCATTCCCTGGCTGTCAGGAAATCCAGATGGTCTCTGGTCCCCTCTGGTCCAGATGGTCTCAGTCCAGATGGTGGGAGGCCCCCAAGTTCTCCTGCTCCTCAGCACTGGGCCCACCCAGCGGTCCTGCTTCCTAGACAAGGAGCCTGGGTGCAGACTCATCTCTCAGCAAACAGATTCTGCTGCCGGCCACCTCCCAGACAGCTTTGCCCATCTCTCAAAGGGGCAGCTGAGAAGGAGGCATGCTGGACACACCAGAGGGCCCCCAGTATGGCCACCCACCCTCTTCAGGGTCCTCACTTGCTTTCCCTGCCTGCAGACACGCTTTCCTGGACCCAGGACCTCGATTCCCTATGAAGCATCGTTTACTAGAAGCCGAGGCTTCCGTAACTGAGCTAAAAGGTCACTGGCAGCCTGCCCTGCCCCTCCATGGTGCAGAAATGTGAGTGACTGGCACTCCTGCCAAGGCTTCCCCGCAGTACTGCACCCTAAAATCATTTGCCCAGAAGGATTCCCTCTTAGCTTCCCGAATGGTGAATGGTCTGTTCTGTTCGGCACTGCCCCTGACCCAGTACTGGAACCAACAGAGCTCAGGGGCCCCTGACTTGCATGAGCCCGGGATTCCTGATGCCTAGGGACCCCTCTCCAGCATCCCTGCCTCCACGGCTCTCCCTCCTGTGTTCATGAGAAGAGGAGGGCGTGCTGGCAACTAAAAGACCCTCAGCCCCCCAGCAGCTCCACACTTGCCCACCGCGGGCCCCCGCTGGCTTTGGAGGGTCGGGTGGCTGCTACCATTGACACATCACAAAATGGGGCGCTTGGAGCAGAGGGATTAGCAAGCGCATGGCCCCACAAACACCGCTGTGGTCTTGCCCCCCAGTGTGGCGTCCAAGGCCCCGGTTCCGCATCTGCAGGGCGCCTCAGTGCAGCCGCGGTCCCCTCCGCCGCAGACGACCCCAGCGTAAGGCCCGCGCCCTGCTCGTCGACCAGCCGACCACGCGAGGGCGCGCCCTGTGTTAGTTCGGACAAATTAAAGGCCGTCCTGCGGGCAGGCCGGGGGCCTCGCGGGCCAGGCCAGGGCTCGGGTGCCAGGGGCACGCTCTTGGCTGCCGTCCGCGCCGCTCTGGGCCTCAGAGTCTCCCGCAGAGCCCGCGTTATCGGCTCCCAAACAAGGCGCCCCCTCCGCCGGCGCGCCTACAACCCGGGGTGCGCGTCTCCGCCGCCCTCTGCCAGGCCCTTCCCGAGCGCAGGCCGCCCCTCCGCCGCGCCGCGGGCTCGGTTCCGTCCAAGGCGCACGGCGACGGGTTCACGGGCGCCGAGGAAGCGCGACCGGCGGAGCCAGCTGCCTGGAAAGGGGCTCCAAGAAGCACAAGTCCGCGCCGGTCCCGGAACAGGCTGTTGTTGTTCTCAACGCGGTCCGCCGTGGAGGAATAAAAGCGGAGCGAGGCGCCCGCGTCGCCAGAGCGCGGCGCGCACGCCCAGCGAGCTCCAGCAGCAGCGGCCGCTCCGACTCAGCTCGCTCGGCCGGAACCGCGCCCCGCTCCCGG